CTCTAAATTACAGTTACATGATTATGTAAGTGATTGTTAATGTATTTTCTTGTTTATTAAACATCTGGATTTTCTACCTCTTACCCTTTGCTGTGTTTTTCTAAGTTATTAGGGTGGACATAGTATGTGTTGTATAAATCATTGCTATAGAGAACATAATTAATGAAGACACCAGTTGTGTTTTGAAGTCCTTTACTGAGTTTGTCTTGAGACCCCTTCTACGTGTTTATCTGAAGGATTCTGGCAGAATTATTAAAGTGGATCTCTATTTTGGAAACATGAAAATGATTAGCTAATTTTTGACTTACAGACAGCCAGGCTGCTTTGCCAAATCCTTCCTTGGACTACAGTGGTGCGATATTCTTTCCTAACAATTCTCTATCCTTCTACTTTAGGTAGATTTGTACTGAGTTCTTCAGCCTTCCCTCCTTTCCTGTGTGTTTCCCTTGCCCCTGTATTTTCTCCCAATAAAACTCTTGGATATTTGATACCATATTGGTATCTGTTTGGAGAATCTAGACTGATAGCTATGTATCATCCTCTACTGTGATATCTTTTGTTATAATTTTTATTCAGTCAATTTATCTAAATATAATTTTATGTTTTGACTTTTCGGCTTATTTTAAAGATACTCTTTTTAGCACAAAGTGGAGATATTCTGTCCTACTAGTATTAATTTTTCATTTACTAAGAATATAGATCATTAGACATATATGGTGTGGATTAGAGCACTTTTCTTTTTAAATTTTTAAAATTTAAACTAATTTTAAAGTTTAATTAAAATATAATTACATCCTTCCTCCCTTCACTTAGTGTTCTTCATTCCTTCTCATGTCCCCACCTTCCTGTTCCCCTCTCCCTCTGAAACTGTTGGCCTCTTCTTCATTACTGTTATATCTTGGCATTAACCAACAGCTGTTTATTTGGACCTCAGGCATGCTCAACAGTCACATTTTCTATTTAGGAAAGCAATGTGAAAGGCACAGAATTGCCTGAAGTTTCAGTATCTTCATTATCTTAATAGATCATGTAATAATGATTCTAAAACAACAACAAAAAAATCTCAAACCTCTGATTCTAAGTTTGTCACTACAAAGTAACCAAGTATTTTTAGGTTCCATTAATGATAATATCTGAAATTCTGTTAAAATTTTATTATATATGGTTTCTGTGCATAATCTACTTTAATATCACTCTTTTTCCTTTTCAAAGTGGTTTTGCAGATTTGTATCTTTTTTTTAGGAAATACTAATTCACTGCTGGTCTCTTGAAAATTTTCACTTAGCATGTTATCTCTATGATCAAATGAGTGAATTGTAGACAAACAGGTCAAGTACCTTGTTCTTCCTTATAGAAACAAAGCCATCTAAAAATAGAAATGGGAACCAACTACTCAGTTCACAATAGTGGTAAACTTTAAAATTTTTATTAGTAGTGATAACTCTATTGGGGTATTTACAGCACAGAATCTGAAGAAAATTACAAATCTTATTGAAGTACTTAATACAGTTGAGTTGAGAAAGGCATTTTAAGTTAAATTTATTGATGCAAACTAGAATTCTATGTAAGTATATGGTATTTTAAGGTTGCAAATAAATTCTAATGAGTTTATCTTAAACTAAACTTAATATAAAATGTTAGAAGTACTCATTTTATGGACAAATTGCATTGGTTGGAATTCTGGCTTCATCAGCTATGGCCTTGATATCATGCTATTTATCTTCTTTGTATTTGAATTGTTAGTGAGGACAAACTGCTGTATTAAACCTGAGACTGTGTTAGCTCCTCTTCTGATTACATGTTTAATAGTTGACATGGTTATTATGTCAAAAACTAAGTAACCAATAAAAGTTAATTATTTTATGAGTAAGGATTATATTTTATCAGGTATTAAATAACATGTAATTCCATTAAAAAATCAAGATAACCAAAGATCCAGAAAGGTATTAATATAGGAAAAAATGGACAAGAAAACAGGACAACCCAAAAATATGAACTATGACATATAATATATGCATCAATAAAACATTATTTATTTGATGGCTATTGTTGCCTCTTGGCCAATTAAAGTAAGGTTAGGTAAATATAAAGTTGTGCCTTCAGGGTTTTAAAAGCTTTATTTTGAAAATAGAACTCAAGATAATACATAATACCAGCAGGTAGGCAGTAGATAAATTGACTTCCTAAAGAATTGAATTTTTGCATATGATAATGGATATGCATAGTGAAAATAAGAGAAAAGGAGAAATGTTTTTGATATATAGTCTAGAAAGTTGCTAAGATCCATTACATATGAAGTATTAAAACTTCAAAGAGAACGTAACAAAGCAAATAAATATTTAAAATATTTGAGATTAAGGAAAAGAGAAAATTAGCAAAAAACTAATGTAATTAAAAAGATAAGAGTATTGTTAAAACTTAGTTGTAAATATAATTCTCTTTTTTGTAAAATGTAATTATTTTGTGATAAAATGCTTTGTAGAGCAGTCTGGCAGTAACTCTTTAAAATACAACATATATATTTGATGCAGTCATTCCACTCATGAGAGTATGTCTTCCAGGTATAGAACACAAAAGCATATATATGATAATATTAATGATAGGTTTTCTAGGGAGGAAGTGAGAACAAATACCAGGGAAGAATTGCACATATCACTCTTTTAATCTAGTCTGGACTACAAAGAAAGAGCAACAAATGACTTCAAACAGAACTGCCTGAAAGCAGCTTGCATGGATCTCCTTTCTTGAAGTAGTAGTCTATTGTCACAGTGTTTCGAGAACTAAAACATTATTTAATATGCTTTTCATCTCTTAGTATGCTAACCCATTAGCAGAGTGTAGGAGGATTAAAAACACTTTGTTCTAGTGGAGATTTTATATCAATTATTACTTAGTCATTTTGTTTATTAATTAATTAATTTATTTATTTATTTTTGGTTTTTCGAAACAGGGTTTCTCTGTGTAGCTTTGGAGCCTATCCTGGCACTCGCTCTGTAGACCAGGCTGGCCTCAAACTCACAGAGATCCACCTGCCTCTGCCTCCCGAGTGCTGGGATTAAAGGCGTGCGCCACCAACGCCCAGCTACTTAGTCATTTTAAAAGCAGGAGTTATTGAGTTTGCTTCAGAAAAATGATGGGAGTGAACCTGTATCCCCTACCTTTTTTTTCTTTTTTAAAGAAATAGGGCAATAGAGGAAATGAAAATGTAATTGCTTACTTTATCTTTGTGAAATAGAATTCCCCCACCATCTGTGCTAGCTACTTTTTATGTCACAAGCTAGAGTTTTATTGACACAAGCTAGAATCATTTGGAAGAGGGAAATTCAATTGAGAAAATGCCCCAACAGATTGGTCTGTAGGCAAGCCTATGGGACATTTTCTTGATTAATGATTGATGTCGGAGGCCCCATTCCACCACGGGTAGTGCTATCCCTGGGCTGGTGGTCCTGGGTGTTATAAGAAAGCAGGCTATGCAAGCAATAGGAAGCAAATTAGTAAGCAGCTCTCATCCATGGCCTCAGTTTCAGTTCCTGCCTCCAGGTTCCTGCCCTGAGTTCCTGCCCTGGCTCCCCTCAGTGATGAACATAAAAGATGTAAGGTGAAATAAACCCTTACCACCCCAAGCTGCTTTTGGTCATGTGTTGTCATAGTGATAAGAACCCTAAGACACCGTCTCTGGGATGGTAGTATATTTGAAAAGTTAATGCTTTCTCACATGTCTTTGGTCACTGCATGTCAGGAATGCTGTTCGAAAGGGTTCCTTGGCAAAAGTGAATAGCATGGCTTCAGCTGACCAGGTCTTTCCATAGCTTTTAAAGAAAGTGATTACTTTATTAGTTCATATGCTTTCTGTTTATAGTTTTGCATATGGAGTTCTGCTTAACTTTTAGATTAGTTAAAATAAATGAAACCATAGTAATTGTGGGTGTTTATGGACACATGCTTATAGAAAATAAAATGGTGATGAATTATTTTTGACTTGCAAAAGCAAAGGAAGAGAAGTGTGTAAGAAAGTCTGAAGTACAGTGAGAAGACAGGGAGGTGGCAGGAAAGCGTAGATGGGCAGGGAAGAAAGAAAGGAGACTGAAGATCGCTACCTAACTCTCTCATCCTTCACATCTCACGGGAAGCCTCTCCTGGAAGGCCTCTGACATTTTCTCTCTTCTGTGTTATTACTTCTGTTTGCTAAACAATTAACTTGCCAATTAAGTGTGTACTATTTTATAATCTGTTGTAAAATGGTCTATCGTGTAAGTTGTTATTTAATTCTCCCTCCGGGATTATAGTTTACCTTCTTAATACCTTTATACTGTCTGGAGTCCTGGATTATTTCTCAAAAACTCTGATCTTTTACTATGCCTTCATGATTGTTGCTACAAGGAAGCTCATTGGAGGAGGAACGACAAGTGTGGCAGGAAGGTGATAGGAGCATGAGTGCAGGAGGCCACAGGAATAATGGCTAGGGATAAGGATGTTTGTGCTGTTGTTTGGGAAGGTGAATAAGAGACATGGGGAAATAACTTGACTTATTTCTTGACAGCCACTGAAGATGCCTCCATATTGCTGGGGTGTGAATAGTTTAGCTTCTCTTATTAACAGGCTTATTCAGTGTCTTAAGATTTTTTAAGAGTGATTTTAAATTGGAAGTGCATTTTAACATTTGAATAGAATTTGAGTTTATATGATAAGCTTATGAGTTATCTCCATATGTAAACTTTTCACAAATACACATGTATTTTACTTTTTGTGTTATCCAAATCGTATTTAATGATCATTAATAAAGTTTTAAAAATGAAAAAAAGTTGGATGTTTAAATTTGTGGCCACGTTACTTTAAGCACCTAAGTGACTTGCATTTGAAATAATGGAGATGTGGTCTTCAAACATTTGAATGGTTGAAGCCCGGGTCTCACAGACAGTTACATCCAAAGGAAAATGTGCTTTTCGATTTCAGATTGAATATATTAAATTTCCTTTCTGGTGTCATGCTTTTGATAATAGGACATCTCCAAGTTTGCAGAAAAAGACAACACCATTCTTGGAGAAGGTGGAGTCACACTGAGTGGAGGTCAACGTGCAAGGATTTCCTTAGCAAGGTGAACATTTATCTGTTGCTCCACTGAGCATTTGCTATAAATACCATGCATGTACAATTATATATATATATATGTATAATATATATAATATATATATAATACACACACACATTCATCTACTGCTTCATGTTTTGTCTCTGGCATTGACAATTTATTTTAAGAACTATAGAGAATATAAGATTTGGTAAAGATGGTGGCTTTTAAAAATGCATACTCTTATTTTGTTTGTCTATATTTGTTTGCTTTGTTGCATGTATTGTTATAAACTGAAATCTATAGAGTTCTGAAAAGTACAAAGAGAGGAAATTGCAAATTTCCATTTATTGCATCATGCATCCTCTCACTGTCCCCAGATACCTCCATGTTAGGTGTCTGTTTATGCTTCTCAGTTTAGATGATATGCATTTTCTATTTTTAAAATTTGAACATAATTTATGATTTTATAACAAAAATAGTAAGGCAAATGATGTCATTAGGACTAAATCTTCTTATTTGTTTTGAGACAAGAGACAAGGTCTCCCTATGTGGAACTCATGATCTTCCTGTTTTTGTTTCTGAGTACTAGGATTACAGGTGTGTGCCACCACACCCAGCTAGGATTTATACTGAGCACATGCCTTTATCTGTGATTCTGATTGTAGTCTAGGTCATGTGAATACTAGGAAAGTGCACTGAGAATTTACAAGCTGTCAAAAAGAAGCATATATAATTCTTGTCAGGAAGAAAATATCTTATTTAAATGTAACTCTGGTCAAAGACAATTGGTGATATGGGATTTTAGATGGTCTCTAGTTTTATTCAAACAGAATTCTTTTTATTATGTTACCAAAGTTGTTAATGAGAAATTACATTGACTCGGAAGTATTTTGGCCCTTTCTCTTTCTTTTACTTCCCAAACCCAGAGAAGTAAACACTGAGTACGCACAACTGATGTCTTGATACTCCGCCCCCCACCCCCACGCCTGTGTGTGTGTGTGTGTGTGTGTGTGTGTGTGTGTGTGTGTGTGTGTGTGTGTGTGTAAGCCAGAGGTTCATTCAATCTTACTAGCAGAAATTGTTCTCTTCATTTTATGGAAGAAATCACAAGATAATTGATGTAGTCAGACATTAACTTGCCAAAAGCCACAAGGAAATGGTACAGTCACTATTTAATCCAGGTCATCTTGACTCCTCATATTCAACTGTGCCTTGATCTTGAGAATACACCTGGAACTCTGGTCACTTGATACAGAGAATTCACAGATGAGGTGATGGCTTCATAATTATTTGGAAGTTAATTCCCTTATCTGTGATCCAATGATCATATCGGAAGCTTTACATTTGATATTTAAGTAAAGTGTGGTATGTGGCTTCAACTTAGTATTTATATTCTAAGTTTAAGATTTAGTCATATGTGTTATGTACAAATGAATAGTACTACTGAAAGCAGTTGGCTACTGTTACTCTCATCTGAATGTTCAATATGTCATCTTCTTTTGTATGGTGAACACACACAGTACACACATTTCAATCTTGAGAAACTGGTCATACATGTGAAGAAGAGTGTTTAGTCTGTAATTCTAATAATCTACCAGTACATTCTCAGTAAATTTTAGAGAAAACCACCTTATTTTTGCTCCCACTTATTGTCTAAAGTCAAGAACACATATCCAATTATGCTATCTCATTGGTAGAGTTTTGAGACAGCATAGAAAATCACATGTCAAGAAAAAAAGGAGTGTGTGTGTGTGTGTGTGTGTGTGTGTGTGTGTGTGTGTGTGTGTATGTGTGTGTGTGTGTCCCCTCTGATATCCCTCTCCTCAAAAAGCCACAATTATTAAATCGTGAAACTCCACCTTGATGATTTTCCTTATTCCGAGTCATTTTCCAAAGGTCCCTTCTCTGAGCACCACCATTAGACTAAGTTTCTGTCCTCTTAAAGAAACTTAGAGTGGATTAAGAGTCTGTATTAGTGTCAGGGGATAAATTACATTTAAACTATATTGCAGAGAGAAAAGAAAAAGCCAAATGTGGATAAAGATTTGTGTGTCTATTTTCATGGATTCCATTAGTCTTCCGTGTTGCCTTCAGAAAATTTACAACATAAAGGGCTTTTATGGTTTACTTAGAATTTTTGCTATTTCTATTTTGTTTCATTTCTTTTCTTAATTATGTGATGACTAAGTACAGTTTGAAAACAAAAGTATTAACGGTTATCTTTTAAATCATGACCTATGTCATACTTTAAAGCTGGGATAGGATAGCATTATTAATAATCATGACTGAAAACATGTAAAACTTATATAAAGAGTTTACTTCTTTTTTTTTTTTTTTTTTTTTTTTTTTTTTTTTTTTTTTTCTTTTTTTTTTTTTTTTTTTTTTTTGTTTTTTTTTTTTGTTTTTCAGCCTATCCTGGCACTCGCTCTGGAGACCAGGCTGGCCTCTAACTCACAAAGATCTGCCTGGCTCTACCTCCCTAGTGCTGGGATTAAAGGCATGCTTTTTTTTATTTTTTTTGTCATTTTTGTTAGTTTGAAAAATGTATCTTTATATTTTTTCTATTTAAGTCAAATCAAATTGCTTATAGTTTTTTTATTTTTCATTTAAAGTAAAATAAAGCCTGTGGAGATAGTTCTGGCTGCTCTTCCAGAGGGTCCACATTTGATTCCCAGCATTGACATTGCTGCTTCACAGTTGTCTGGAACTCCAGTCCTGGGGATCAGACACCTTCTACTTGCCTCTACACACAAGCACTCACCTCCACACATATTGCACACACACGGTACACATGCATGCTGTCAAAACACTGAAAACAACAAAAAAATTAAAGAAATTTAAATAGTATATATGTTGCTTCTTATTGTAAATAATTCATCCTTCCCTATGTGTAGCACCCATGAAAGAGAGGTATAATGAGCAGGTGCAAAGTAGATTATCTCTTTATTCCTCACTTAATACAGTCTACAGTATTAATAGCATAGGTATGGGAGAAGTAACAGTGCTGCTTTTGCCCCATGTTGTGAAAAGTGCACTTCTGTTGCAGGGATCTGATGGCACTTCTTTTTTTAATTTAAATTAGAAACAGCCTTATTTTACATATCTATCTCAATTCCCTCTCCATTCCTCCCATCCTCCCATGCCCCCACCAACCCCCATCCCATCCCACTTCTGCTCCCCAGGGAGGGTGGGGCCTTCCATGGGGATCATCAAAGTCACTCACATCACTTGGGGCAGGACCTAGGCCCTCCTCCATGTGTCTAGGCTGAGAGAGGATCCCTCCATAGGGAATGGGCTCCCGAAGTTCATTTGTACACTAGGGATAAATAGTTTCACTACCAGAGGCCCCATAGACTGATGGCAGTTCTGTAATGTATGTCAGGGGTTTAAAATACCAGTTCTCAATGAAATACAAAGGAATGGAGGGACCCTAACTTTGTTTCTGCTTTGTTTACAGAGCAGTATATAAAGATGCTGATGTGTACCTCTTGGATTCTCCTTTTGGATATCTAGATGTTTTAACTGAAGAACAAATATTTGAAAAGTATGTTTTTTGACTCAGTTACTAATAATGCTAGTGCTAAAAGATAACCAAATGTCTGGATCTTCATAAACTGCATATTAGCTCTAGAGCAGTGGTTTTCAACCTTGGATTATAGCCCTTGTGGAGAGGGAGTAACCCTTTCTCAGGGGTCACATGTCAAATGTCCCACACATCAGATGTTTACATTATGACTCAGAACAGTAGCAGAATTACAGCTATGAAATAACAAAACTAATTTTATGATGAACTATATTAAAGGGTTGCAACATTAGGAAGGTGAAGAACCCTGGGGTAGAGCAATATATCCACCATTTGTGTGACTCAGAGTAGCAGAATGTAACACATAACTTATTTAATTCTGGCCAAGGTCCTGCTTATTTTCCTTTATTATATATTAAATAATATGTTTTAATTCTGGACTTAACTACATTTAACCCATGAAACCAACAAAAGCCCCCCATTCTAAAACTACTTTTATTCTGAAAGAACTAATTTCAGATTATTTTGTTTGACATTTTCAGTTTATGTCTGATTTAAGTTGAGTGTATTAGCCTGGTTTATCTGGTCACAATCCCAAGAATATGTTATTCCCATTCTCTGAATGAAATGCCAAGTCCCATCAACACCATCTCCACTCCACACTTCCCAACCCCCAGTTTTGCTCGTAAGCTTGTGAATAATCTATAGTAAAGAAGTAATACATGATAAGGATCTTAATAATTCACTTCAATCTTCTATTACTTAATTTTAATCTAAATTAAAAGGTTACAGGAGGCTCTAGTCATGTTTCTACTTCCCTTAAAGCTTAGAGCATCATCTCCTTCAGTACAGTCTTGCATTAACATACCTGTTATCTTGAGTCTCTGAAGTTGCTCTGTAATGGCCATTGCATCAAGTCCCCTGAGTTCATACAATTAGAACGCTGAATAACCATGACTACTTTAAGCACATAACTCAGCTTAAGACAAACATTTTCTATTTCTTCTCTCTCTCCATTTTTATTTAAATTAGAAACAAGATTATTTTCCATGTCAATCCCAGTTCCCTCTGCCTCCCCTTCTCCCTTGCCCCCCACAACTAACACCCTGCCTATGCCATACCCTTTTTTCTCCCCAGGGAGGTTGAGGCCTTCCATAGGGGATCTTAAGAGTCTAAGACAAACATTTTCTAAGCCATTAATAAAATGCAAGAGCACAAACTCTTGAACAGTACAGAATGATACAGGTTCTGTGTGATGCCTTAGCAGGAAGGTTGTCCTAGAATTTCACATGAACCATATTGTTGGACCCTTTGCTTGGATTACTTGTTCAGATCTTCTAGCAGTCATTGTGCTGGTTTTGTTTGTTCAGTTTTTTGTTTTGCTTTACATACAATAGAGATTAGATTCATTGTAAGGGGAAAAACAGCTTTTATTTTAAGAGCTGGATGCTCTTTGGTTCTAGGACTTTGCTTAGTTCCAGCAATATGGGCTTCTACCAAAGCCTTCCCACACATTGGCCTTTTATAAGTCTGTTCTCAGAAGGCCTCTCTAGTTTGAGACAGAGAAAGAGAAAATTCCATTAAATGTAAATAATCCCTAGTACTATATTTATGATGTTATGACTGTAATTGCTATTGTCTTACTTCATAAACTTGGATATTGTTTATATTTAAGGATATAGTGATGGCTCTTTATTTTTTATATTTACTGGATAAAAGAAACTCACTCTGCCTAGAGAGTATGCTTCAAGATTTAAAGTATAGGAAAATTTTATTGGAGGAAAGTTAAATTGCTTAAGTATTTCTCAGTTGTTATGCCTTGCTTAAAAAACAGATTAGTCAACATAAAATGCATGAGAAAATTAATTAAAAACAGAAAATCTCTGACATTTAAATATATGTGGAAATATAAACTTTCAGGAACATTAAAGATCATCTAACAATTCCTTTGTTTTCTAGAGAAATAAACCAAGACCTAAAAGAAAATGATTTGGTTAAAATCAGATAATTATTGATTATCAAAAATTGAGTTTCATTCCATGTCTCCTAGTATGATACGATATTTCATGCTGCAATTCAAGAGGCACCTAATCGTTACTGTGGAGTATATATCCATATGAGCATATTAAGTTAGGTAGCAAAATGGCATGATGGAGATGGTATGCAGTGAAACATTAATAACATGCTAAAGTTAAACATAAAATATAAATCACTGTTTATGAAGTCAAATCTTATGTATTTTTATATTTCCAAAGCTGTGTCTGTAAATTGATGGCCAACAAAACCAGGATTTTGGTCACTTCTAAAATGGAACATTTAAAGAAAGCTGACAAAATACTAATTTTGCATGAGGGCAGCAGCTATTTCTATGGGACCTTTTCTGAATTACAAAGTCTACGTCCAGACTTCAGTTCAAAACTCATGGGGTATGATACTTTTGACCAGTTTACTGAGGAAAGAAGAAGTTCAATTCTAACTGAGACCTTACGCAGGTTCTCAGTAGATGATTCCTCTGTCACCTGGAGCAAAACCAAACAGGCATTTAAACAGACTGGCGAGTATGGAGAAAAAAGGAAGAGCTCTGTTCTAAGTTCTATGAAGAAATTTTCCATTGGGCAAAAGATTCCATTTGTCATAGAAGATTCTGATGAGTTCCAAGACAGGAGACTCTCTGTTGTTCCAGAGTCTGAACAGGGAGAGACAGCCCTGCCTCGAAGCAATATGATCCCCACTGGCCCCGCATTTTCAGGAGGCAGAAGAAGACAGTCTGTTTTGGACCTCATGACACACACACCCACCCAAGGCTTCAGCAACATCCAGAGGACAAGGACTTCCATTCGAAAAATCTCCTTAGCTCCTCAGATAAATTTAAAGGATGTGGATATATATGCAAGACGGTTGTCTGAGGACAATGCATTCAACATCACTGAAGAAGTTAATGAAGAAGATTTAAAGGTATGTGCCTTCCATATCTTAAGATGCTCTCATCCCAACTCTATAATTTCAGTACGTTTTGCTATGTTTTACATGTTGCATTGCATTCTATGATAGTCTCTGGGTTAAGGGTTCAATTAGCTATGTAAGCAACTTCAAAATATGAAACAACTATTTCTGATTGTAATTGAAATCTCCTTTCTCCCCAAAAGTTGTAAGCCAAGCAAGGGCTTAGTATTGAGTCCCTTTACTAGGTCCATGATATGATATTTGTTATTATAAATTAATAATTGTCTGCTCTAGTGATTTTCTAGAACAAAATGAAGTAAAGTATCATGTAAACAAATGGTTGCATTTATGTAGCCATCAAGAAGTGTTTCTAAACATGAATGGCCTAGATAAGGATTAAGAATACCTGGCTTAAAGACAAGACTAATTAACCATTCATGTCTGAATTCAGTTAATGTGCATTTTCTGATCTTTCACGTTTATTTTATGTGTAATATTTTGAAAGTATTTTTTTAAAGAAGCTATGTGAACCTCAACATATATCTACCAATATTTAGACTGAAGGCCCATCACTGTGTAGAGCTCATCAGAATCTCCTTCTGTGACTAATGGAATCTTTTGCACAATGGAAAAGCAAAACAACTTTTCTTAAAATAGAAAGCAATGCAAAACAGGAGGGCTATTGTGTACTAAACAATGCATGTGCCTTAGATGAAGTTAAAAACAGAGTCCTAGTAGATGGCCATGTTTAATGATGCATGTCTTTAATAGAAAGTTACCTTTTGGCCAATCACAAGTCATTTCCTATCTCAGGGTTGAGTTCACTGTGTTGTGAAATAAAGGGATTAAGTAATTCCCCAAAATATACATTTACTACTTCCATACCTTTAAAAAGATTTGCTAAAAGAGAATTCATTTATATGATTTAATATCCATCTACATGAAACTCCCAAATCAAAGTCTACAAATTTGATTCTGCATTGTAATGAATTGTTTCTTTGACTAATATATTGCTAGGTCATCAATCATTTCAACTTCCAGGCAACGCACTATCCCCTATTATAGAAAGTCTCATGTCATTGTCCCTATTTGCAGAAAAAGAAATAAAGTTCTGAGAAATTCAGCACCAGATACCCACTCAACCATCCTAGGCTATTACTTCCAGGTCTTGAATTCAAATAAAGGCCAATCCAATCCCACAATCTAGTTTATAATCAGGGAACCTTAATCCAGGTTTACAGGACTCCTTTGTGAGTCTAATACCACTACTTCATGAATTTTTATGAGGAGCAACCCCATCTTTTTCCTTTAGAATATATAAGGAATCTTTTTCCCATATTTTAAAATATGTCTTCCAAAAGACAAAGGCTTCTAGAGGAATATGTTTAAGATTAGAATTCTGTAATTTAAATCTAACTTTAAAAAAATATAATGCTTAAGGAATATACAAACATAAGCCAGCTTTTTAAAATTAAAGGCTTAATAGCTAGCAAGTTCCAAACTTCGCTTGTCCATGGATCATCGAAACAAGCTATATCAAGGACAGTTTGGGAGCTTCAGTCTGATAGGACCACTCATCTGACAAAATGTGTGGTGCTATGAAGCATTTAAATGCTAATACCACTCTACAAGAGTCACTGTGCTGCTTTTCAAAATGATACTGCTCCAGCAGACATCCTATTTGATGTGACCATCACACATGCATTTCTAATGATTTGTGTTTGTTAAATCCACTTAGCCATATGTATTTCTTTATTTCCCTGAATTATAAATGAATCCTCAGTGGTGGCATGAACTAGATTTGTTTCAGAATCACACTTCTTTCCTCAGGAGTGTTTTTTTGACGATGAGGTGAAGATAACCCCGGTGACGACATGGAACACATACCTCCGATATTTTACTCTCCATAAAAACTTGCTTATAGTGCTGATTTGGTGCTTGGTTGTTTTTCTGGTTGAGGTAAGAATGTTTGGTTATAAACTGTTTCTGTGACTTTAAATCAAGAATTGAATTTGTATGGACATGTACATATAAATGTACATATGTATCTCTCAGTGGTAGTTGCCTTGATAGTTCATAGCTTCTGAAAGCCAACAGGAGCTGGAGAGTTGGCCCAGTGGTTAAGGGCACTGACTCCTTCTCCAGAGGACTAAATAGGATTCCTAACACCCACATGGTGGTTCATGATCACCTGTAAGTCCAGTCCCAGGGAATCTGGTGCTCTTTTCTGGCCTCTGTAAGTACCACTTATATGTGGTACACAGACATATATGCAGGCAAAGCACCAATACATATATAAGTAAATAAAAAACTTAAAACCTTCACAATTAGAATTACTATTGATATTTTAGTATTTAAGACATAACAAAATATACTTTAACACAAATACTATATATGAAGAATTATCATAAAATACATTTTATTGGAAATATTTACTATATTCAACATAAAGATTCATACATATTGTAAAAAGGGTTTTTTTGTTTTTGTGATAAGAGGCACTAAAATCCATACAGCTAGCACGAATCCCAAGTACAGTATAGTTTCATTATCTATAATTTTCAGGTCGTTCATTATATCTCTATATATTTAGTTTTTAGTAATTGAAATTGAATGTTAATTGAAATTAAGCCCTGAAAAGAATTCTAGATATTAACTATGCAGGTGGTGACTCATGGTGGTGGTGATTCTTGTTCATCTGTAGCACCTTTGTCTCAGGCAGCTTCCATTGAGGGACGTTTGGGTGTCTTTCAAAATGACATGGCATAGTATGCCATATTATTTCACTCCATTATTTTTCCTGTTGCTGTGACACTGCACCCAATACGTTAAAGAAGGAAGGATTGATTTTTGGCTTTGTGTTTGAGGGGATATATTACTGGAGGCTGGAAGGCATGAGAGCAGGGCTAGTAGGGTGGTGAGCCAGATTGCATGCATACTGTAAAAAAGCAAACAATGGACAGGAAGTAGGACCAGACTGTAAATGCTTACGGCCTTTACACAAAGATCTACACTCTCCATCAAAGCTCAGGAACCTGCAGATTTCACAGCCTTCCTAAAAAGAACAGTAGCTTGAGACCAAACATTCAGACACATGAGCCTATGGGCCATTTTATATCCAAACCATCAACATTCAACTAAGACAGAAAGGACATCTTATAGTTAAGAAATTTAACTATTTAAGAGAAAACATTTGCCACGTCACTATCCATTATTTACTGAGCTGTCACTATTACTGAAAGAAAGAAAGGAGAAAGGAAAGAAAGAGAGAAGGAAGGAAGAAAGAAAAGAAAGAAAGAAAAAAGGGTGGGAGGGAGGGACAGAGGGAGAGGGGGCGAGAAGGGAGAAAAGGGAAGGGGAAAGGAAGCCATGGTGGACAAACACCATTCATGCCCTCTTAGGGCCAAGAAACAGTCTAATGGCATGATTTTTTCCCAATACCTGTAAGTAGTAGCCAGTTATGTAGGTCTCAAAATGCTGAGTAATAAGAGAAATATAGTAATTTTTAAATGATGTGTGTGGTTGTACAGATAAACACCATATTTGCTAATGTCTGCAATTGTGTTTCTTTCAATCAAAATTTACACATATTTTCCGTGAGACTAAACTTTCTTGGTATCAATTTGTGCATTTCTTTTGACTCCAGGTATATTCCATTATGGAACAGGTGCCAATCCACAACACCAAGATGCATATCTTCTTCCATACCTATTTTAATAATAAAGGCTGTATTTCCATTTATATTTATGATTTTATACCATTCATTCAGTGTTTCCTTTTTGTAATACGAAATAAATTTAGCAGCTCATCCCATCTTTTACTATTTCTCCACAGTTGCTAAACTAGAAAAAAAAACCTCAATTTTTAATTTGCTAACATTTTTCAGAATTGTCATTTTGAAAAAGTATATATTTTATACATTTTCCCTAAAAAGCAATGTATTTTTTAAGTTCTTATTAACACTAAGCAAATAAACTAATATTTCTATTGTGCCACTCTTCTAATGATCCTTCTTAGCATTGTATCATGGACTAGAAGGGGAAAATTTAAACAATAGATTAAGGGATATTTCCTGTTTCCTTTACAATAACCAGAGGGTGTTTTGACTGTAGCATCTGAAGACCCCGTTCACTCTTTTGTCTTATGGTCTTTAAGCCTGCATCAGAGAGCTGCTGTTTCTTTAGATTGTTAATCAAGAATCCCTGAGTGACTATGCATTAGATAATTAAATAAGAGACATGGGGTTTTCCCATAATACTGCCTTTGCTGTCAATAATGGTAGTCCTTTCAAGGCATCATATTTTTGTGGATGTATATTTTAGGGCATTATTTGTCACATGAAATATGTGAAAAATCTGTGAATTAAAGTATACTGTATTCCATGTGCTATAGCATCATGTTTAACCTCCCCAGCTTAGAAATGGGAAATGACTATTATCTATTTTGTTGCTGCTGTATCTTAATCATCGAGGAGTATCCCTCTTTCAAAAATCACATGAACTTTATAGCCTTGAATCATTCTGGAGTGAAATGATAGTTACTCTTTTGTTTCTGTAACCCTCAAATATTTTTCCTGAAGGCCTCCTACAAAGTCTTTGAAAATGCTTTTACTACAGTCAGTAGAAACAGTTTGGATTGATAAATTAATGTGACAGCCAGGAAATAACTTTACATTAGGACCTAGGCCCCTTCTTTAGAAAAATTGTTTGTTGTTCCATTCATAAACATCTATTTCTGGGATTTACTCCTATTCAGAGTGTGTTGGCAATGGCAGACTTTCTTCTAATTGGAACAGGAACAAAGAATGAGTGTAACAATCAAGTCTCTCAGTACTTGTGTCTCATCTAGAGTTCTGAGTATTTGATTAGTCTGAAGACAGAGGAAGACATTTGTATAAGAACGAAGACTTTTTTAAAAGCTTAGATTGTTGCTGGATTTCTTGTTGTTTTACACTGACTTGAATCTCTAGAAAACAAAGATTTTCTTTTCTACTTAAACCGTACATGGAGACTACGTATACAATGAGTAAACATGATGATTAAAATAATGCCATTAGATTTTCATTAATAAAATAAACTAAAATAAAATTTATTCTTTAAGTAGATGAATCTTAACTTTCCTGTAGGATTCAATTCATAGTGCTTGTGGAGTAAATGAGGGAACAGATAAAATGAGTGAAAATGGAATTCCATAAGCTTAATTTGCTCTTGCCCCAGTAGTGTCACTTAAAATAATTACTCCGAAGTGCAAAGCCAAGAATTGAAATTGTGTGCACTTTGATGTTGGTCATGTTGAATTTAGAAATGGTGTGGGAAGCATGGGTGAAGGTGCTAGGAGGAAAAAATCAACTGTGTATTGTTCCATTTCAGGTGGCTGCTTCTTTATTTGTGTTATGGTTGCTTAAAAAGTGAGTATTCCACACATTGTGGATTTTGTTTTGTTTCCATGTGGAGATTATAAAATATTTCCATATCTACTATGTTTCATTGTACCCTCCACATTCCTCCAAGTTATGAGAGGAGAAAAACAAGTTACAGTCATTCCTCAGTTTCTGAGGAGATTGGGTTCCAGGACAAAGGTACTAAATTCGACACTCAAGCCCCATATGTAAAGTTGTATAGTATTTGTATGTGTCCTATGCATGTCAGAACATATACTTTAAACTAGCTCTAGATTTATATGATGCTTAGTATAGTAGAAGCTTTATGCAAGTGATTGCTATAATGAATCATTTAGGGAAATGATGACAAGAACAAAATAGTTAAGTGCATGTTCAATAAAGATACAATTTAAGAACCGTTTCCTCAATCCACTATTAGCTGAATCCTCAAAAGATTCTTAAAGTTTGCTATATTTGTTCAAGTTGAAAGCTGTTTAGTGCCTTCAGCTCTTCATTTATATCTAAAAAAATTAGTTGTTTACAGTTTCCATGAAATGCAATAGTTTCTACTAAGTGTTTTGCTCAAATAAGTATCAATTACATCTTTTTCAATTATAAGAAAACTTAAAACTTTTTTCAAGACAAAATTTATCAAACTAAGGGGTTGTCTTTTTTTAAGCCAATCATTCATGCTTCTTTATATTTATTTTTATTATGATTCAATTGTAAAATAACACTTTTTTATGTTTTGCAGCAACCCTATGCATAATGGGAACAATGGTACTAAAAGTACAAATAACACCTATCTTGTGATTATCACCAATACCAGCTTCTATTATATTTTTTACATTTACGTGGGAGTGGCTGACACTCTGCTTGCCTTGAGCTTCTTCAGAGGTTTGCCGCTGGTGCACACACTAATCACAGCATCAAAAATTTTACACCAGAAAATGTTACATTCTATTCTTCATGCACCAATGTCAACCTTCAACTCGCTGAAAGCAGGTACTTTCAATTAGTGGTATAAAAAGGAGCTGTCTGCTTACTTGCTTTCTAACAACAGCATGGACTTGAGCGCAGGCCTCTTCCCTTTATTCCGCTGCCCTGTGTCACATCCCTCAGATGTTGCAGTCAATCAGGTCTATGGTTCCCAGTTTTCTCTGTCAGTCTAGTAAGGTAACTAATGTTTTTTGGGAGGAGGAAGTTTTGAGGCAGGGTTTCTCTGTGGCTTTGGAGGCTGTCCTGGAACTAGCTCTTGCAGACCAGGCTGTTCTCGAACTCACAGAGATCTTCCTGCCTCTGCCTCCTGAGTGCTGGGATTTAAGGTGCGTGTCACCACTGCCGGGTGGGTAACTGATTTTGTCATAGCGGGATTCTGATGCTATAGTCTCAGTAAAAGCAGCTTCTTTTGGATAACTTGGATGTTTTCTTTTTACATACTTGGTCTAGCTTTTTCCCAGGCATCATATGGTCATGAATAATATTGTTTACAGGAGGCAGAAATTTGAAGTTGTCATGGAAAAACATAAAATTCTACTTTGAAAAGTGTCTTGATGGGGAGAATATCTGTATCATGAGAGTCTTCAAGAGCATTCATATGAATGCATTAAAGGACTTTGTGGGACAGGGGAAGATTTTAAATATATTTTAAGACAACTGTAGGGCATGGTACGTGGTAACAGGCATTTTGACACCATTGTAATTACAGTCACAGAAAGTAAGAGAATTGGGAAAAAGAACCAAACATTTGAAAATCAGTGGTAATAAGGTTCTTTGAAAATGTGTTACAATCATTACCTATGGATAAGCTCACATTTAAAGACTGTGAAGAGAATGAGTACCCTAAGTGTCCTGATGGCAGTAATTGGAGGTCCTTCTGTGTGGTCCTAAGCCAGGGAAAGCCTGGAACATAAATATGAACCAGATTTCATTCTTTCCCCAGAGGTGTTCACAAGCAAGGAGAGAGATCAGGCACGAAAATTATACTAAATATAAAATAAGTTGGAGAATTGAGACTTTTTAGCATGGTCTGTTTCTAAAAACCTCAAAATAAATGCACATCAGGTTTTCTAGGTGACAGAAGTTAAGTGTTGGTGTACTAGAAAAACAATGATATTTTTTCCTGGAGCCCTTCTGTCTCACCAAAGGGTTGCCTCATTTGAATATGCTCCTGGTCATCCTCCTTTGCTAGAGCAATTTTATAATTAAGGGAATGGCCAATTCATTTGATCTGGTGAGCTTGACTTCTGAAATCCCAAGAGGGTAGGGGTTTTCCCCATTTCTGGCAAACTACAACACGGGCCGTGAATCACAGTGGAAAGGACACAAACATTTGAGTCTAAGTTTGGCGACATCTGAATGGTTATTATGGTTGTTAACATCCTATGTGAAATAAATGTTAGTGTCTCTTTGTCATTCCCTTCTGGGGGTATTGCTCCCAAAGGAAGTGCACTTTTCTTTCCCTCTCCAGAACACCTCAGTGCATTCTGTCTTCTCTCTTTCACATGTTAGTGATGAGCATACATTCTTCTTTTCTCATTTGTCTCTCAAACATTCATCTGGTTTTAGGTGAATTTCTAATCACCTTTGTGTTATTTGTGTTCCTCCTTATTCACCCTCTTGATCAACTAAGCAAGTTGATCATAGAACATTTCCTTTTGGCCTTTTCTCATTTTTTTTTGTTCTTGTTGTCCATAAGAATTTTGCTTTCTATTAAATAAGAAACTGTTAGATTTATGGTGTATGATTCTTCTTCTGTTACATAGCTATTCTGTTATACTTGGCAACAACCCCTTAGAATTTCTCCTAGATACGTTCTTCAAAATCATACCTTGACCTTGATTTTCCATGACATTAATTATCTCTGACTCTTTGACTTTCTTATGCTACATTTCCCTACCTTGTCACACTCAAATGAATTTGTGCTCACATAGATTCATAATTTAGGTCCTCAACGAAGTGTGGTTATATTAGCTAGAACACTACTAGTTGAAATAAAATTTGAAATAGAAACATCATTATAATGACACTCTTTGTCAAAGTTAACTTTCAGTCTCTAAATGGTAATTTTAAATGTCATGGGGTATGCATTCATTATCTGGGTTATTTATGAAAGGATATACCAATATTCTTAATGAATATGTTAATATATAACATATATATAACATATATATCTAGATAGATAGATAGATAGATAGATAGATAGATAGATAGATAGATAGATATCACGTCTACAAAAGGCTTTTTGCTTTGGTTATTGGGTCATATAAAATAAACATGGAATAATCCCATTCACCTCAAAAATCTACCATGTGGGAAAAGAGATATGACATATGTGCACACAAGCAACTATGATATACAGCATTTATGTAGTCTCTGTAACAAGGAGAGGAAGAGATTACTTCCAGATGCAGCAAGTACCAACTCAGTTTTGCCGATAGGGTATCTGAGTTGAGCCAGGAAAGTACAAATTTGGCAAAAGGAGATGAGGAGAAAGGGTTTTAGATAGAAGGAAACAGCACATAGGCCAAGTACTGTGGTAGGAAAGGTTAGACGGTCTAAAGAATAGACACATTCACCTCAAACAGTGTATTTCATTAGAGGAATCAAGGTTATTTAAGGACACACTCTTGGAAAGTATTAAATATTTTAAATATTAAACAAAGAATTTTGGACTTTATTCTGAAGTTAATAGTGAATGAATGATAAGGTTAACTATTACAATGTTGCCATAGTGTTATGCTACAGTTTATCAAATTGCTTAGCTCCTTTGTAGACAGTGAATCCCTCAAGGACAAAGGGAGTGAGTAGTCACCTTTATCATCTCTGTGCCCAGCATTGTCCCGGGCATGTGATTTCTAGTTCATTTGGGGCAACAGATAATCAAAACTTAGATGTCTGAGTCTGGAATTTAGAGTGCAGGTTGAAGCTTAGATTACCAGTGAAGAAGATGGAGAAAATAAAGAAGGATGACCCATCTGGCATATTTTGAAGGAGATCGCTGTGGATTCTGCAGAGTTGCATCTGGAGGGCACACCCAGAGGGAGGGTGTGTCTGCCCTATGTGGTGGAGATGAATGTAGAGAGATGATGAACACACACCCATTAAGGTCGCTTGAAACTCAGAGTGGCAGAAGTGAGGTCTGAGTGGTAGGATGACCAGCCACACCTCACTTTAATTATAGTAAGAACCTGATTTCAAGACATTAGTTTGAGCTGACTCTTAAAGGGCTCTGTGTTTTATAAAAGTTCAAAAGTAAGAGACAATAACTTCAATACATGTTAGAATTTTGAGCAAAGCTAATATTTGATAAGTCCTTGATCTTCTGATTAGATGAAAATTCTTAATCTAAATTGTTTGGCTGTAAGCCAAATTGAACATGAAATATGTTGATGTTCTTTTAAATGTGATTACTTTTTGAGAATTTTTATTTGTATCACAGGTGGGATTATTAACAGATTCTCCAAAGATGTTGCAATTTTGGATGACTTTCTACCTCTTACCATATTTGACTTCATCCAGGTTTGTACAGTTTGAAAAACTCTTGATAACTATTATCAAGAGTTTTCTATGAGCCATAAAGTTTTCTCAATAGTTTCAAAAAAGGCAAATGAATTTTTGCTGATTTTACCTACAATAGTTGAAGTCCTGGATAACAACTAACTTTCATGGAAAGCAGTCTTTATAAGTCACAAATTTAATGAACTCAGTAACTAGGCAGGTGTGTTTATTTCCGGCAGACCCACCTGCTTGGATTGATTTGAAGGGCTCAAAAGATCACCTTCCATCAATCATTGACCATAAAATCTATTTGATAGCACCCTCCATTTCTTTAGTCCCACACTGAAATGAAAATGGAGTCCCTGGATAGGCTACACTCCAATCCAGCCTGATCCATGAGGAATACAAGTTAGATAAACAGTTTCTCCACAAAATGGGACTCAATGGAGAGGCAGAAGATGACTTTTTGAAAACATGAAGATTCTATGAGGGCTACTCCTAAATAATAGTTGTGACTCGACCTGCAGGATAGCCATGCTGTGAAACTGACTGTCCAGCCAGCTTATGAACATGACCTTGAGCCACAATAGGACTGCAAGGTCACAAGACACAGGGGACTTGTAAGCTGATACCCTTGCCTGCTGATCCAGATACAGCCTTCTGAGCTTCCTGATGGCTTCCTGACACTTCACAGACTAAATGCACTTGGAGAAATAGTTGTAATACAACACTGCTCTTATTGGGATGACTCATTCTTATATCTTGTTCCCTTCTCTTCTCTCCAAAATAATCCTATATTGAAAGAACTTGAATAAAAAAAATAGGGACTATCACCCTCATGTGTATACACAAGCAACATCAGCAGATGCAGAGAAACCAGCTGTTGGTTTATCTCCTCTGAAATGATTGACATAATCAAATACACTTACTGTTCTAAGTGAACTGTGTTTTGGATTTCCTTCATTGCTGTGTTTAAAGATATAACTTAGCAGTAGCAGCACCTGTTGGAATTTTTTAACCCATGTTTTGATTCAGGTGCTCAAAAGTGTGACTTTGTGTCTATTTAACACTAGTCATTAGTTCCCCATTCCAGGAAAGTAAATAATAGGTGCATAATACGAATATACTAATAAAGTATAATATAATGCAATGCAGTAAAATAATTATTAACTAGAATGTGGACATATATCTGGGTCTGTATGCTAAAGTATTAAAATAGTGCTGATTGATAATTATTTCCTTATTTTTATGGTCTACTGAGTGCCTTCTGTCAATTTAAAGTTCACCTCAGAAATCTGAGTTAATTTTCAAATATTTATCCTGCAAATTAAAGTTTTGTTTTTTAATTTGTTATGGCTTTCAAGTCCCATGAAGCTTGAAAAGTTTCAGCTGAAGTCCTAGAGCTACTCCAGCTTCATGAAGTAGCAAACAACTGAAAGATTTCCATAGATCTAAAAATCCACCCTGACAATTCCCTGTAAGGGTACCAGCTAGCTAACCCAAGGAACCTAGTGAAGATTTGGCTCATTCATTAGCATATGGAAGTTACACTAGGTTGGGTTTAAAATGATTATTATTTATGGTTAGCATATCCAAATGAGCTATTGTGAAATAAATATTAGGAGAAGTTTTACCTTTTGAAAGTAATGTGTGCTTGATGTCATGTCGATATCCATCTGCTAAACACGTGCCAATATTGCAAACAGCAGTCTAGTTTCCTGGGAGGTAATGTAGAGAAATGTCTGTGTTGGTAGGCAAAACACATTTTGACAGTGTAAATAGGAAAAATGCTTAATTTCAAATTAAATCTACTACCTACCATAATCTTTTTTAATTATTAGAGTATCTCTAATTATTACAATAGGAATAGGTGAGTTTTGAGAAGGGAGTAAGACATTAAATAATACTTTCAGTATTTAATATGAAAAGCTTGGGTCAGAAAATTGAGCTTGCCTATATGACTAAACCTATATTTAGAACAGATATTTGTGACTCAAAATGCTGTGTTGAGAATGCTCCATTTTAAAAAACTCTCTTAACAAAATCATGAAAATTATCATTTGCCCTTGTATTATTTAAAAAATTCATTGTTTCAAAGGATTGGATGAAGAAAATCATTGTCATGTAAAATTTACTTTTTACACAGTTTATATCTGATAAATAAAAACATCCTAAGATAAGAAAAAATTGTTTCCGTGTAGCCTGAAGAAAGTGCCTTTCAGATAGTATCCTCCTTGGAGAACGCACTGTTTCCTTACTAAGAATTGAACAAGTGCAATAATAGGTGTAGATGTGTCACCAAGACACTGTGTCCACTTTCCAGAGTGAAAATCTGTCCTCACCACCATGCTTTCTCTATCCCACAGTTGCTGTTCATTGTGATTGGAGCTATAATAGTCGTGTCGGTTTTGCAGCCCTACATCTTCCTGGCAACCGTGCCTGGGTTAGTGGTCTTTATCTTACTGAGGGCATATTTCCTTCATACCTCCCAACAACTCAAACAACTGGAATCTGAAGGTACAGCATGGAATGGATGTGCAGGGTTCTCCTGGACTTAAGGGAGCCACAGGAGCTTTTTGTGATTTACTACCATTATCCTACTTTCCAACAAAAAGTTTCATGCTGTAATATGTAATATTATAGAACAGTAGGATATGTGTGTGGGGGTGGGGAATGCTTGCCCATGCAGTCTGATGTCAAGAAATCTTTGTCAATTGTTTTTTTTTTTACTTTTTTCTTTCCTTTCCTCTCCTCTTCTTCCTTCGTTCTTCGTGTGTGTGTGTGTGTGTGTGTGTGTGTGTGTGTGTGTGTGT